GCATGGGTTTGCTTATTTAGCCATCACCACAACCCTATGAAGCAGAGACTATTATGGTCTCTGTTTTATTGATGAAGAAAATGCAAACAGAGATGGGAAGTATTTTCCCAAGGTTGCACAGCTAGCATGTAGCAAATCTAGGCTTTGCACCCAGTCTGACTCTAGATTCCACCTCTTCCCCTTGCTCCAGCCCCTTGCTCCCTTTGAGTTAATTAACCTTGTGGTCTCTAAATTATATTATGAACAATAAACTATGTTAGAAATCATATTAAAATTTGTTAAAAAGAATAGCCCTATGGCTCAGTCAGTTAAGCATCCAACTTCGGCTCAGGTCATGCTCTCGCAGCTCACGAGTTTGAGCCCCACATCGGGCTCTGTGCTGACAGCTCAGGGCCGGGAGCGTGCTTCAGATTCCCTATCTCCCTCTCTCTCTGCCCCTCCCCTGCTCATGCTCAGTCTCTTCTCTCCCTCTCTCTCAGAAACAAACATTAAATTAAAAGTTTAAAAAGAATAGCCCTAAGAAAGAACTTTACTAAACAGTGTTAAATTTCTCAACCAAGAGTATGTAAGAGTTATATGGCCACTGCCACACAATAGCTGAGAGAGTGGAGGGTCTAGAAATAGGACAATAAACCCTTTAAAAATCAAGTTGCTGGGGTGCCTGGGTGGTTCAGTCAGTTAAGCATCTGACTTTGGCTCAGGTCATGATCTCACAGTTCATGGGTTCGAGCCCCACATCAGGCTCTGTGTGGACAGCTCAGAACCTGGAGCCTGCTTTGGATTCTGTATCTCCCTCTCTCTCTGCCTCTCCCCCGCTCCTGCTCTGTGTCCCTCTCTCTCTTTCTATCAAAAATAAATAAACATTAAAAAAATTTTTTTTCAATTAAAAAAAAAAATCAAGTTGCCTACTTCACAACCAGGTCCTATCTCCTGGCTCCCTCCTGGGTTCTCTGGAAAACCAGGGATTCAGCCAGATTATTGCCTTTGGCCTCTAAGCTCCATACACTCATGACTTGAAAACAATAATGTCTAGACAAGATGAATAACGTTTAGAGACAGTAAATGTGAAGTGAAACAACACCGTGGTCAGAACTTTACGGGAAAGGAGAAACGGAGCAGGGTCACTTCTTTTCTTTTTTTTTTGGTTTTTGGTCATCTCAGACTTTCCTGACTTCAAAAAGTTGCACTGTCTGGCTGCGTCCACTGTTTTCACAATTGAACTTATTTTGGCAGGTCTGAAAAACAACTCCTGGCAGCCAGTAGAGACCCAGGTTTTGTGAGTTCTAACACTTGAAATTGTGGGGGGAGTCCTCTTTAAGAAAAGGAACACGAATTTATAAATGCAAACTTTGTAGATGCTAGAATGAAAGTCACAGCCTCCTTCCTGGTCTCCTTGCTTCCGCTCTCTTTCTAATCTAAGTTCTTCCCATGTAAAAACTTTAGGTCCCAAAGTGTGTTTGTTCAGAGATGGAAATAGACATGCGACAAAATGAGAGAGATCCTCTGTCAATTTAGCTTGGGAAGTTTCTCACAGCACATTCATTCCTAGTGATTCCATGCTGCATATTAGCATAACAAAGGCACTAAGAAATTCTGGGTTTGAAAAATCTGCAAAAATTTATCTGTCCGTGAAATCTTTTTTTGTGGAAGAGCTATTAGCATTTCACGAGAAAACTGGGTTTGTAAGATTCTGATCTAAGTTAATTTTCATAAAGCATTCCTGTATCGTGCTTCTCCCTGGATGAAAAATAAGTTCCAATGTTCATTTATGCCTCCAGGATCGGGTCCAAATTAACCAGGTCAGTAGTCCAGGGCATCCCTAATCTGGCCTTATGCCACCTCAACTTCATCCACTCCCTCTTCAAGAGCAAATGGCCTGCGGCAGTCAGTTCCCCCATGGATGAGCAGGCAGGCTTATCCCTTACAGGAGACACCCACACAGTTCTCTCACTCTTACTGCCGAACTCTCAGGCTGGCATTTAGTCCTAGGCCACACCTAGCATTGTTAACTGAATATTTCCACGTGGCAGCTTTCTCTCCCTCAGCTAACTATGTTTCCAGAGGCAGAGAACTTTTGTCTTCCTCAGCACTCAAGTATGCATTGATGACTTCACTGTGCAAACAGATGGCACTTAATAAACATATGTTGCCTGAATAAATGCGTTAATGAGTAAGTCTTGGTGGACTTCCTTTCAAATCAATTGGCTTTACAGGTTTCTGAGTCCAGGCCAACCAGAGCAGATTGAGGATGAACATACAAGCGTATCAGGAGATATCACAGATCCAGCCCCACCTCTAACACCATATCCAGTGATGCAGAGAAGTGACTTAAGGGAGACATTTTATAGACTAGACCATGCAGAGTAACTATGTACCTTGCTGGGGGGACCAGATGAGAATATGTAAAACAGGGCTTTAACGAGGGATAGTAGAAGATGTAGGTACATGCAACATTGGATAAAACTTCCTTTGCTCATCACAAAAATGTACAATTCCCAGAAATTCCTTTTTAACAGATGCTTAATTAGCATCTGCTGACTTTGATAAGTTGATCACTGAGTCAATTTTAATGCCGTCTCAAATCTTAAATTATCTTATTTTCTTAACATGAAGGCTCCTATTTTATCTTATAGCATGGGTAATTCTTCCCTCCAAGTAGAATAAAATTAAACAGGTTCATAAAATATTCATTAACTTACATATGAATGCATATATATATATCTGTGCCTCTAAGCTTAAATTAGTTGTCGCCTATAGCCTGGGATAACTAAATATTCTCTCAAGTGGCTTATCTTTTTGATGGTTCTATTATTTGATCTATGGCCTGAAAGTCTTTTTACTTCTTAAATACAAATACCTCTACTTGTATATAGTACAAAGTAACTAATTTAGGCATTTCATTCATATATATAATCATATTCACTAGAGTCCATGGCCAGATTCTATAAATCCACATTAGCGATGCCAGGAGCAGACTGTTGGATCTTTACTTAAACAATACTTTTGATGCTGATAGTGATGACCTTGAACAAATAGCAATGCCAAAGGTGGCCCATCCGAGCTCTGCCCCTGATGATCTCATTTACTTGAGCTGGGGTAACAATGGACCATAACAGCATTTCAAGCTCCGACTCTACTGGCAACCAACTAGCTGGTGACCCCAGACAAGTCCCCTAGCCCCACTGGGTCTTAATTTTCCAATTTGTAGTTTGAGATGGCTAGATGGGATATGGTAAAATTATGCGACTCCAATAAGCAAATTCCATGTTCTATTAAAAACGCCTCTAAAAGGCTTTTGGTTAATTAGGGAACTAAAATTAGACTGACCTATAATTAGCTTCTTAGATATGAAGTACCAGCCACCTTCCTGGTGCTTAACTGGTATCAGTCCCAGGTTTACTGCATGTCAGGTTGCTAGAGTCACTTCAGGAGGAATTACAGGACAAGCCTTTCCTTGACTGGTCTTTTCTACGGCTATTTATTTCCTCATTTTCCAATTATGAACACATTTATTAGAATCCTTGTGACATAAAGATTTCTTCATTTACATGTAAACTTAAAACATTTTTGAGGGAACCAAGACCAGGCCCTTTATAGCAAATGTTATAAATGGAGGACAAAGAAACTTTTAAACATATTTTGTAAAAGTAGGTGAGTTATTCCAGATTGATTAACCCTTTTTTTTTTTTAAAGTTTTACTTTTGAACGTTTTTTATTTATTTTTGGGACAGAGAGAGACAGAGCATGAACGGGGGAGGGGCAGAGAGAGAGGGAGACACAGAATCGGAAACAGGCCCCAAGCCATCAGCCCAGAGCCTGACGCGGGGCTCGAACTCACAGACCGCGAGATTGTGACCTGGCTGAAGTCGGACGCTTAACCAACTGCGCCACCCAGGCGCCCCTGATTAACCCTTTTAAGTCATTTTGCAACCCACCAGTGATAATACCAAACATATTAAAAAAAAGAAGAAGCAAAAAGACAGAAATATAAATTTTTTTTGAGCATTTGATGTTTTTACAGTTTATGAAAGATTATATAGATTAAGAATGCACATGCTTTTGGGGCACCTGCGTGGCTCAGTCAGTTAAGCATCTGACTTCAGCTCGGGTCATGATCTCACGGTTCACGGGTTCAAGCCCCGCATCGGGCTCTGTGCGGACAGCTCAGAGCCTGGAGCCTGCCTCAGATTCTGTGTCTCCTTCTCTCTCTGCCCCTCCCAGCTCATGCTCTCTCTTCCTCTCAAAATTAAATAAACATTAAAAAAATAATCAAAAAAAGAATGAATATGCTTTCTGTGAGACACTCTCATAAGGGACATGCTTCCTAATGATTGTTTTATATCAGCTGAGAAAATTATCAATCACCTACCATGTGTAAGACTCTATGACAGCTACAGTGGGAGGAATAGAGGCATAAAGGACATGAGTGTGTCACTAAAGAAACTGATAATACAGATGAAATAAGATGGACATGTAAATATAATGATGAACACCCCACAGTATAGAATAAAAGACGAGTGACAGATGTAACACGGGCTGAGGAAGGAAAAATGTGCATTGATCATATTTATAAAAGAGCTCTAGGGGCGCCTGGGTGGCGCAGTCGGTTAAGCTTCTGACTTCAGCCAGGTCACGATCTCGCGGTCCGTGAGTTCGAGCCCCGCGTCAGGCTCTGGGCTGATGGCTCAGAGCCTGGAGCCTGTTTCCGATTCTGTGTCTCCCTCTCTCTCTGCCCCTCCCCCGTTCATGCTCTGTGTCTCTCTGTCCCAAAAATAAATAAACGTTGGAAAAAAAATTAAAAAAAAAAAAGAGCTCTAAAAAGAGGATAAATGGAATAGATTTTTAAACAGGAAATATAATACTAAGTTTTACAAGACCTATTCAGATATGTTTTGGAGTGGCACTCACTGAAAACTATGAAGCCAATGTACTAGGCACTTGATCTAATAAGAGTTAAGTCTACCCAGGAGCATTTGGTGTAAAAGAAAAGCCAGACTTACCTGTACATTGGCATGGACAGACCCAGGCACTTGATATTTCAGCTCATGGGCTGTTGTTTGAGATTTTGGAAGCAGAAAAGGATACGAAAGGGACCGATACTTTGATTTCATTATCTAAAATGAAGAAAAACAGATAAAAAAAAAAAAAAAAAAAAAAAAAAAAAAAAGATCCAGATGAGAAAATAGCTCCATTCCTCCCTACTTTTGTGATTATAAAAGAAATTAAGATTCATTTGAAAAAGACAAATGTTAACAGTGAACGTTTCTAGTTGAAGAGGCAATAGATGATTTATTTTTGTGCTCGTTCCATTTTCCAGTGGCAGAGAACTCCTTTTTCCCTTCCTCCTTTACCTTTTGGAGTAAGGCATCTACTGTTTTATTTTATTTTTTTTATTTTTTTTTTATTTTTTTTTTCAACGTTTATTTATTTTTGGGACAGAGAGAGACAGAGCATGAACAGGGGAGGGGCAGAGAGAGAGGGAGACACAGAATCGGAAACAGGCTCCAGGCTCTGAGCCATCAGCCCAGAGCCCGACGTGGGGCTCGAACTCCCGGACCGCGAGATCGTGACCTGGCTGAAGTCGGACGCTTAACCGACTGCGCCACCCAGGCGCCCCTACTGTTTTATATTTTTAAAGAAAGCCTAAGTGTCATCTAGAGTTATAGAGGTATATAATTCCAAAAATTGTATTTTTTTTGTAAACTGATTTCTTACTATGTTGTGGTTTTTGTAAACTGATTTCTTACTGTCCTGTCACAGCAATGTATAACTGTATATTATATTTTAATAATTTCACAAGAAAATTATATAGAAGAACCATAGGTCATAAATTCCTATTGATGTGCACTTCAGTTATTTCCCATTTTCTCAGAATTATTAGAAGCAATGTCCAAATAAATTACCTTGTTGAATTACTTTTTAACGTAAGTACCCAAAAAAGATTTTCTGAGATAAAGGTTGTATACTTTTTTTTTTAATTTTTTTTTTTTTTTAGCGTTTATTTATTTTTGAGACAGAGAGAAACAGAGTATGAACAGGGGAGGGGCAGAGAGAGAGGGAGACACAGAATCTGAAATGGGCTGTCAGCACAGAGCCCGACGCAGGGCTCGAACTCACGGACCATGAGATCATGACCTGAGCCGAAGTCGGACGCTTAACCAACTGAGCCACCCAGGCGCCCTAAGGTTGTATACTTTTTAAAAAGTTTTTTGGGGCTTACCAATTTATCCCGCCAGGAACAGAGTATACAAGCAACAGAAATCCCCAAACCAATCACAGATACTAGCAGGTTAAAAGTAATGTCCCTTCATTTATTCATTCATGCTCCCTTAATTTTGGTTCAAAATATTTCCATTATTTCTAAGAGGTTATTAAGTTTATGTAAACGAAAGCTCACGTTAATGAAAAATAAGGGGAGACTCTAAGCTGTTGATAAAATAATTTTGTCCCAAATTATCAAGGACGCTAATGCCTTGTCATAATTCATAGTAAACAAAATGGAAGCTTAATGACACCAGGATGGTAGGCACTTGAGTTCTTCCTCTATGTAATGAAGGCGTACTAAAGACGTCACAGTCTGGACAAAAGGAAAATGGCTCTATCTTCTCACGCTGCTTCCCTTTGCTCAGAATCTCCTTCCAGAAGCCTGGACCAGTATGAACCCAGTACAACGCCAGGACGAGAAGGACTTGAAAGCTCGAGCTCTTTCCTCCAAACAAGGCCCTTGCCCCCTACAACAGCCTTCTAGGTGACCATCAGTCCAAACCAGATGCTTAATCAACACTGAGCATCCAAAATGTTAAAAAGATCACAATAGGCCCTGAAAGTAGCATCTATCTCTCCGTGCTTCGAATTGCCTGTGGTGTGAAAGTTTAGGGACATTTTCTTTTTCTTTTGCCCACAGACCCCGGCGCTCTGGCAACCGGGCACTGAAGAGCAGACGGGCCACCACAGCCCCTTCTTGCCAACCCTCTGGGCTCCTCCTCTTCCAGGCTATTTCTCTTCACGTGGACTGAATCATGATAAAACCATCCACCTACCTTCGTGAAGTTCCAGCGCTGGATGAAGTGACGTGCTACGTCACGAGCTGCCTTCCCGTGAACTGCAGAGGCAATGTCATGCCATGGCATCCGGGGAGTGGAGTGCCTGTCAATGAAATCTGCCCAGGTGCCCCGGGCAAGGATCATCACTAACTTCTGTGCCACAGACACAGCCATCTGATTCCAGCACTCACCCCAACCATGATATGTAAAAGGAAACATGGTAATGTTCACTATGCGTATATTACTTGGCTTGGGTAGAACAATACCTTTATAGCCAAGAAAAACATAGCTATCTATTACATTGAGGAGCACGGTCCCCCAAGTTCCTCCCCCAACAGGTTTCCATTTCACTTAGTACAACATAATCACTAGTCAAGGCAAGATGTGAATTGGTGTAAATTATCTAAGGCTGTGTAGTTAATATTACATTTTTCTTCTAAATCCTGTTGAAATAACCTCAGGCTGTATATACAGTTCTGTCTTTCTCTTCTCTTAGACACATAAGCACAGTGATAATCTGAAAATGGGTCATTTTAATGCTGGAAGATGAAGATGATAAGCAGAAAAGGAGATCAAAGGAAGTCACCTCTTGCAGAATTACAGATTATTACCCCCCAAATATGCCTTGATGGAACCTGGAGGTTTCAAACAGTAAGCTATGTTTCATGCTCTTTTCTTATTATACTTACAAGGAAATGTCCTTGTGTATATGACTGGATCATAGTCCCCAAAGTTTTACCAAATATTCAAAACAAAATAAAGCAGAATAAAGGACATTATATCCTGTACATGCATACTTGCTGAGATGCTGACAAGTAAAAGACAAAACACAAGCAGCCACCCACGACCATGGTACTCACCAGCAAAAGGTTTATCAAGTTGAACCCAGTCTTTGAAGACAAAATTGCAGTAGTCTTTTCCATGCCAGAACCTGGTTTCCCCATGGAGCTCTCCCATGCCTGTCTGTAAACTGCGGAGGGAGCTGGTGTCTGTGAAGGCAGCAGAGACTGTGTTCAGGTGGGCCCCAGGGAGGGAGGCTCACGTCTCATTTATTGAATGGCTAGAGACTTCCGAACTGTTATCTTTAAGCCTTGGAACTAGGGTAGCATGTGTTCATTCTATCTGAGGCTGTGGGCTGGTGAGGTTTCATAATCCATACGAGTTTACCATTAGTGAGTAGTGGGGGCTATAACCAGGTTCATTACTTGACAATGAAATTCAACGTTCTTCTCCCCATCTACTAGGTGACTGAAGAACAGATCACAAAGTTAACCATGAATAAAGAACTTGCTGAGAGGGACTATGAGAGAGCAATAAAGCCAGGTCAGGCAGAGAAACATGAATGGGAGACGCCATGAAGAAGTCATACCCTTGGCTCTCTTCAACCAACAGGGCGCATGCCCAATACATAATTTTGTCTTTTGCATCTCAGAATCAAGAACCTCAAATCAGCACACAGCCCCTGTTCCTGCCCTGGGATTGTCAAGCTGACTGACACCGAGCTTCGTCTTTTTGGGTCAGAAATTCTTTACATGTAAAAGGAAGAATTTGGCCTAGATGGCATCTAAGATCTTTGGCTCGAACATTCCATACTCCCAACATCATAAATGACATCCATAATAAATATCACAAGAACACACAGAGCTTATGATCACATAAGGCGCAAAAGCAGCAACCCACCGCAGCATTTCACAAAGAGCTTTGTCGGGACCATTTTACTTAATTCTGACTTAAATAGTTTGTACATTTATGGGATATGGTGGCCACATAAACAACTAAGCAGGAAGACAAGCAGAGCTACAAATCACAAAGCAGCGCTTGGCACAAAAGAGGCACTTAACAAACACGCTGGGTACAAAACTATTCATTGAATGAATAAATGGTAGCACGTACCAGTGAGAGGAGCAGACCAGCCCCCTACCACCACATGTCCCAGAATGGTCTTTCTAAAACGCATACCATTGGCTTAAAAGCATTCTAAGATCACCTGCTGCCTGCCCACGGGGAGTCAGGTCCTAAAAGCTGAGTGTGCACAGAAGGTTCTTCCCAAACTGATGCCAATCTCCCTTTCTGGCCCTTGTTCTTCCCCAACCCAGGCCCCGTGCACACCACCTTTCTCCCAGTGTTTCGACAGGCGTGGTTTGTTACGCCTTGGTACAGTTGGCACATTATTCCTTCCCGTCCGGAATGCCCTTCCCTCCCTCTCATCCTCAACTCCCCATCTTTCTAGAGCTACAATAGCTGTCACCTGCCCTACAGGTACCTCCCAGATCCCAGAAGGGTGAGGCTACCACTAGCACTGCCGTAGAACCATCAGTAGCTGCACACCCTGGTACCTCGGACTCTGTGACACAATTGTGCATGGATGCTCCCCACGAGTCTGGAAGCTCTTCGGGGTGGAGAGTGTGCCTTCACTGCGTGGTGTAGCTCCTGGCATTCAGTAGGCAATCAATACGTACTTGCAGAACAAAGGTTTTTAAACAATCACCACACACACACACACACACACACTGCTAATATTCTAACTTAAACTGAATAATTAACCTTCAATGGTTATTGACATAATCTATAAAAGAAAAAGGTCTTAAAAGTGCTAAATATTAACAAAACTAAATAATGTTAAAAATAGCATTCTATTGACTTCTCCCAGTGATTTATTTTCCTGCTCTGTTGAGACTGAAAGGCTAAAGTACTGGCAATCTGTTTGCTCACCTGTAAAATCTTTAGAATAAGCATGGCATTTTATATTTTTTTTTAAAAAAGAGAGATAGAAAGGAAACAGGAACAAAGAATTAAATCATGGGTCAAATTCCAAAAAAAAAAAAAAAAAAATATATATATATATATATATATATGGTAATATATACATAAGCTAAAGCTTAACATTTATATGCATACATGTGTTTAAAAATTAACTTTCACCTAACAATCAGTTATGATAAGAAAAACAAAACAAAGCAAATTCTCATCTCAGAAAATTGTGTTGGTACTGATTGGATTCAACCTGCTCATAATTCAAATTTGTTTTTGGTTTCAGTCATGGCCTAAATTATTCCAAATAAGTCAGTCTTCCCCAGAACAAATTAAATATTAAGGCAATACAGCCAAGGACTCATAGTTAGTGTGACTGCTGCCCAGAAGTGCATGAGCACCTACGAGCAGGAAGAGAGGCTTTTTACATCAGCCATGCTGATGTGAGGGGTCCTCCTCAGTCTGCATTTGGCTTCCAGCTGATTTCATAATTGCACCTGCCTTGTCTTTGGCATAGGTTTTATGCCAGTTTTCTGCAATCCTCATCCCTCAGTGGCCCAGACACAGGCTGTAAAGTTCATAGAAAGGGTGTCTTCCTGCCCTTCACCCATGTCTTCTGGCTTTGCTTCTTCCTCTCTTCTTTTCATGGTCTCTTGACTGCCAAGGCTGCATCCCCTACACCATTACTGCAACCCCCGCTTCTTGACCTTCTTTCCTAGTCCCTCCTCCTTCACAAAGTTCTCCCTAATCTTCTTCTAAATGTGCTCTTCGAGCTCTGGCTTCTCCTTTGGCTCTCAGATCCACAGCCCCTTCCAAAGCCTCCCTCAACCTTCTCCACCCAGTTGTCCCACCAGGCCTTAAAACCATGTGCTTAACACTAGAATCATTATTATTCCCACAAAATCAAGTCTTCCTTGAGATTTCTGGTTTCTGTTCATAGTTACTCAAGCTCAAACCTCAGGATCAACTTTGGCTCCTTTCTTTTCCTTGCTCTCTTCTCCACCTACCTCCCAGTCACCACTTCCCAAATCCTATTGAAATTCTGCAGATTTTTCCTTTGGAAAAAGTTTCTCCCATTCACTTCATTCCTGGGACAAGCTAGTCAGACTCTCTGTGTCTGTAGTGTAACTTAGTAAAACACCACCCTTAACTCTCCACCCACTCCCCACCACCTGTCTTCTCCAAATCCCACCTCCATTCCTCACCCACCAGGGATTCTCCAACATTTGATAGATGAAGTTCAAGGTCACAGCCTGACCTTCAAAACCTTCCATTACAGGTACAGATCTATCCCACCAATTCAATCTATACACAAAATTTACTAACTCTTATCCATAATTCCAAAACCCAAAAGCTCTGAAAATTCAAATGTTTTCTCATAGCTCATTTGCTAGCAAAATCTGACCTGAACTGACAAGAAGTTATAATCTTTATTTAACCCACCTGGTGTTGCACAAATATAAATGATCTGTTTAGGTGTTTCCCAGACCCTGCAAGCAGTATAACATAATATAGAGTATAGGTATTGCATTACCTTTCTAAAATCTGCAATCTTCTAATTTCTGAAGCACATCTGACCCCTAGAATTTTGAATAAGAAATTATAGACCTCTATGCATCTACCTCATTCCACACCTACATCTGACATGATGAAATAAACACTTTTGGCACTTCCCACATGTGTCCTAAGATATAACAGCTACCAGGGCACCTGGGTGACTCAATCAGTTAAGCTTCTGACCTCAGCTCAAGTCACAATCTCAAGATTCTTGAGATGGAGCCCCACACGGAGCTCTTTGTTCTCAGCACAGAGCCCTCTTTGGATCCTCCTGTTAGTGCATTATCTAATTAACCCATAGTGATCTTGCACATGGCTCCACGCTAATTTCTGTCCACAGCCAGTAAGGTTCACTAGGAGCCCAGGTCATCGTGGTCTTTTGAGTTCAAGTAAAACTGATTTGAACTAAGAAGCTAACCCAGTTTGTAGCCTCAGGAAAGGAAGTTATTAACTCAAGCAAATATTCAGTTTCAGATTTCTTATGAAGAGTTACTCTGTGCTTAAATCAGGTTTCAAGTCCTATGAGACACTATGTTTAAATCATTACATAATTTAAATGTAGAGCTGTGCTCTTTAAACTCCTTTCATTAATAGCAGAACCTTGCTTTTTTTTTTTCCAACACAAATTCACATGGAGCTTTTATATATATATATATATATA